GAGCTCTCAACAAACTGAATATAGAAGAAACACAACTCAGCAGAATAAAGACCATATATGACAAACCCACGAGTAACATCATGCTCCATGGTAAAAGGTTGAAAGCTTTTTCTCTAAAATCACACAAAAAAGCAAGGATGCCCACTCTCACCACTCCTATTCAACAGTGCACTGAAAGTCCTAGACAGCAGAGTAATTAGGCAAGAAAAAAAAAAAAGCATGCAAATTGGAAAGGAAGAGGTAAAACTGTCTCTGTTTGCTGATGATATGAGCTTGGAGATAGCAAATCCTTAAGAAGCCACCAAAATACTATTAGAATAAACAAATTCAGGGAAATTGCAGAATACAAAATCAATATACAAAAATCAGCTGCATGTCTATACACTACCAATAAACTATGTGAAAATAAAGAAGACAATCCCATTTACAATAGCATCAAAAACAATAAAATAAATAGGAACATTTAACCAAGGAAGTGAAAGACCTAATAACAAAATCTAGACCACACTGATGAAAGAAATTAAAGTGGGCACAAAGAAATGGAAAGATATCCTGTGTTCACAGGTCACAAGAGTTAACGTTAAAATCTACATATTACCCAATGCCATTTTTAGAGTCCATGCACTTCTTATCAAAATGTAATGGTGGAAAGAGGCACGATGGCGGAGAAGTAGGGAGCTCTGTACATCACACTCGCCCCCATCTCTCAAACGGAGAAGGCCTGAAGCCACAGGAACCCTTACAGAATCCAGGAGTTAGGGAGAAAAAGGAGACAGAGTCTGCTGAAAAAACCTTATAGTGGCTACCTCAAGGAACAAGCCAAAGTACACATGGTGGAGAGTCCCAAGTACCGCTATGAATAGGAAAATAAAATAACCAGGGTCTCAACGGGAGACCGAGAGACACCATTCAAAGAACTCTTTCTGAATGGACAGGCCCTGGACAGTCAAAGAGCCTTCTTTGATACAGCAGCGCTCACAGGTGCAGAGTGCATAACAAGCTTTTAAAACTAACAAGGGACAGAAAGCTAACCAAAATGACGAAACAGAAGACTTCTCCTCCAAAGAAATTCCAGGAAGAAATGACAGCTGAAGAACTGCTCAAAACAGATGTAAGCGACATAACTGAACAAGAATTTAGAACAACAGTCAGAAAATTAATCACTTGAAAAAGTGGGCTTGAAAAAGCATGGAAGACACCAGAGAAACTATTGCTACAAAGACTATGGAGCTTAAAAATAGTTGTGATGAATTAAAAAATGCAATAAATGAGATGCAAAATAAAATGGAGGCATCCAATGCACGGACTGAAGAAGCAGAAAGGAGAATAAGTGATTTAGAAGACACAATTATATAAAAAGAGGAAGCTGAGGAAAATAGAGATAAACTGATCCAGGAACATGAAAGGAGAGTTCAAGAGCTCAGCGACACAATCAAATGGAATAATATCCATATCATAGGAGTTCCAGAAGAGGAAGAGAGAGGGAAAGGTGCTGAAGCAGAGAACTTCACCAATCTGGGGAAGGAAACAGATCTTGAAATCCAAGAGGCACAGAGAACTCTCCTTAGATGTAATGTGAATCAATCATCTACACAACATATCATAGTGAAACTGGCAAAATATAAGGACAAAGAGAGAATTCTGAGAGCAGCTAGGGAGAAAAGGGCCCTCACATACAAGGGAAACCTATCAGAGTGGTGACAGACGTATCTACTGAAACTTGGCAGGCCAGAAAGGAATGGCAGGAGATCTTCAATGTGATGAACAGAAAAATATGTACCCAAGAATTCTCTATCCAGCAAGCCTGTCATTAAGAATAGAAGGAGAGATAAAAGTCTTTCCAAATAAATAAAAATTGAAAGAATTTGTCACCACTAAACCAGCCCTACAAGAAATCCTGAGGGGGACTCTATGAGGGAAATGTTGCAAGGAACACAAAGTGCCAGAGACACCACCGCAAGCATGAATCCCACAAAGGACACGATGACTCTAAACCCATATTTTTCAATAATAACACTGAATGTAAATGGACTAAATGCCCCAATCAAAAGACATAGGGTAGCAGAATGGATAAAAAACAAAATCCATCTATTTGCTGTCTACAAGAAACTCATATTAGACTGGTAGACACCTTCAGACTGAAAGTAAGGGGATGGAGAAATATCTATCATGCTACTGGAAGTCAAAAGAAAGCTGGAGTAGCTATACTTATATCAGACAAACTGGACTTTAAAGTAAAGACAGTAACAAGGGATGAAAAAGGGCATTATATAATTATTACAGGCTCTAACCATCAGGAAGAGCTAACAATTATAAATGACTATGCATCAAATATGGGAGCACCTAAATATATAAAACAATCACAAAACAGAAACAATCTTATGGACAAGAATGTGCTAATAGCAGGGGATTTTAATACTCCACTTACAGCAATGGATAGAGCAACTAGACAGAAAATCACTAAAGAAACAATGGACTTGAATGACACATTGGACCAGATGGATTTGACAGCTATATTTAGAATTCTACATCCTGAGGCCAGGTAATTCACTTTCTTCTCAAGTATGCATGGCACATTCTCCAACACAGATCACATACTGGGACATAAAGCAGGCCTGAATAAATATAAAAGAATTGAGATCATACCATGCACACTTTCAGATCACAATGCTATGAAACTTGAAATCAATCACAGGAAGAAGTCTGGAAAACCTCCAAAAACACGGAGGTTAAAGAACACCCTACTAAAGAATAAATGGGCCAATCAGGCAATAAGAGAAGAAATTTAAAAATATATGGAAACAAATGAAAATGAAAATACTACAATCCAAACTCCACGGGATGTGGCAAAGGGAGTCCTAAGAGGAAAGCACACTGCTCTCCAGGCCTATTTGAAGAAATTAGAAAATGCACAAGTACAAAATCTAACAGCTCACCTAAAGGAACTAGAGTCAGAGCAACAAGAGCACCCCCAACCCAGTAGGAGAAGAGAAATAATAAAAATCAGGGCAGAAATAAACAATATAGAAACCAAAGAAGCAGCCGACTAGATCAATGAAACCGAGGTGGTTTTTTGGAAAAAATAAACAAAATTGACAAACCTCTAGCCCAGCCTCTCAGAAAGAAAAGAGAGAGCACTCAAATAGACAAAATTATGTTCACAAAACAGTTCACAGACAAGGAAATAAAAGGAAATACTAAAGATTCTTAAGCGCATTGAAATACTCTCAACTTTACTCATAGTAAGAAATGAAAATGCGCAGTACACAGGAAGGATATTTCTCATCTGTCCTCATTGGCCACGCTTGGTTGGTGAAAGTATGGGGAAGTAAAGAATTATGGCAGTTAATTTGGCAATATCTATCAGAAATATATTTGCATATGGCCTTTAAATCAGTAATTCCACTTCTGGGAATATACCACCCCCTTCTCATCCTGAAAATACTCGCATACATACCAATGTTAGCGATTGCAACAGTATTTGGAACAGCAAACACTTGGGAACACCCATAGATAGCTGTGGTATGTTCTCATGCTAAAATACTCCTGAGCTGTGAAAACGAGTTAGGAAGCTCCTGGGTACTGAGATACAAATGAATCCAGGATAAATTAACAGAAAAAGTCATATGTCAGAAGCTGTGTACACTATGCAACCTTTAGTGCAAAAGGGCCAGGATAATAATATATGAGCACTTTTTCTTAGAAAGCATCTCTGCAAAATTATCTAAGAAAGCACTACAAGTGATGACCAATGAGGAACCAGGAAGATGGGGAAAGAAAAGCAGAATGATTATTCTGTACCTTTTGTATTTTCTCTTTAAAGTTTTAACCATGTAAATGTTTTATCTGTGCCAATTGTAACAGAGACAAACAGAGAAGGAAAGGAAAAGGGAGGGAAGGAGAGAGAGAGAGAAGGAGAAGGGAATGCAAATGAGTAAATGGATTCTGGAAAGCCCAGAGCCAAATGCTCTTCAGCTCCTAGATACACGAGCAAAAGTAAAATTCTAATCTGACTCTCTTAACTACGTTGGAAAATTTCCACCTTTTTTTTTACACTTAATTTTTTTAAAAACCTGGTTTTGGACATTATCGGTGGGTAACCTTCTAGAGGCAAATTCAGAGGGGGAAGCCAGTGGCCAACTATTCCGAAGGCCACCCCCGCTGTGCAATCAATCACCTCTGGGCCCCATCACCCAGGAGCTGCTGCTTCAGGCAATTCTAGAAACCTTCCTCTGAGCCGTGGAAGGGCAGCTGGCTCGGAAGACCTTCTTCCCGCAGGAGGACATGGTACAGAAGCCCTGTTGTGGCTGTTGAAAGCAGCTACAGTTCATCACACACGGCAAATCCCCAAACAGCAGAAGGCCCCTCTGGCCTAACGACATCTTAGGAGCGAGAAAACAGATGAGGTCAGGCCACATGGGTATTTTTTTTAGCCCATCTTTCAGCTTATAGAGAGAAAAAAAAAAAAGAGAGAAGAAACCACAGACTTCTCTAATTACGCTACTGTGTTTACCCACAATGACCCCACTCTTTGGAATTTAGAGAGCATTGAACTTGGGGTTTCCAGTCTCACAATAAGCCTTGTGCTAGAGCTGACCCTTCCCGATAGACATTGTTCAGAGTCTTGATCCAGTATAGGTTAAGGCTTTGCTGTTAGAACAGGAAGTTGAGACGAAGATTTTTAAAATGCACGTCGTCACATCTCTGAGGTGCTCTGGGAGGCCAGAGGGCTGCCCGGCCACTTGGGGTTTAGTTCACGTCCTGGCGAAGGGCAGTTAGGAGAGCTGTCTATAAAGCAATGTTCACAAGCACAACCCTATTGTAGAAGCAGCACCTTGTTGAGCGTCTGGATAATACCAGTTCTCGACTTGATTTTAAATACATGAACATGCTCTAAAACGTGAGGAAGACTTGTTTTCTTTTACCTTGCACCTTGGTCTGTTCTGTTCCGTTTCCTTGTCCAGTGAACTAAAGCCAGGTTATGACCTGTTCACTCATAGGATGAAGACAAAACACCCTCAGCTGCCTCTACCCAGCCAGCTGCACCAGGTCGTCTTCCAGGACGAATCCGTTGATCGCAGTGCCCCACGTAAGTAGGGGTGAGGTAAAGCAGGCCACTGCGCCGAGTCTCCTCCTACGGACAAGGACATAAATGTTAGGTGCTTGTTGAGCCGAGCGAAAGGGGCCAGACACAAAAAGACAAGTACCGTATGATTCCACTGGTATGAGGTGCTTACAGTACTGAAATCCAGAGAGAGAGAAGGGAGAGTGGGGGTTAGCAGGGGCCCGGGGTGGGAGAATGCGGACTCCGTGTTTAATGGGTATGGAGTTTCAGCCTGGGAAGATGGAGCGAGGTCTGCAGCTGGAGCCTGGTGATGCCCCCGCAGCCCGGTGAAGGCACTCGGTGCCGCTGGACTGTACACTGAAACATCACTGGATGGTAGATTTTATGTTACCTGTATTTTACCATAGTTTTTATTTTTTAAACTACCTGTAGTATTATGTATTTTTTTAAAAAAGGTAAGGTAGTTCTCATACAGCAGGAGGGCTCAACTGGGTTCATGAAACTAATGTTCTTGGCCTAGAGCAAGTGTGGTCTGAAGCAATTCCTGGTCTCCCATCCCTCAAGGAGAGCGTCCTTCAATCTAACATCCTCACGTTTTCAAGATCTTCTGACAGATACCCAGCATGCCACTGAAAATGGACAAGTGGTCTTTGACTCCAAATAATGTATACTTTTAGAAAACTTACATGCCCTTATTGGGGGTGTGATGTTAACTTGGCCCACGGCGGGCACGAAAACCGTTAAAAGTTATTTCATTTTCCCTTCCTTCAAAAAGAAATGCATCCAAGAGGTCCCTAGATGCAATGCTTAGGTACAAGTGACCCATGTCTGGGTAATGTGAGACAGATAGTTCTCTGCCAACTATCCAGAGAACAAGTCAAACACAAAGGTAATACAAACATGCGGCATTTGTGGTATTTGTGGGGACTAACTGGCCCTCCTTTCCGGCCAAGATGTTTGTTGAAAGTTGTAGGGTTTTAAAATTCTATTGTCTATTTTTTTAAGTTTATTTGAGAAAGAGGGAGGGAGAGAGACATAGAGACAGAGACAGAGAGAGAGGGAGAGAGAGAACCCCAAGCAGGCTCTGCACCAACAGCGCAGAGCCTGACGTGGGACTCGATCCCACGAACCATGAGATCATGACCTGAGCTGAAACCAAGAGTTTCACTTGTTTCACCAAGTGTTTCACTTAACAGACTGAGCCCCTCAGGGGCCCCTTATTGTCTACTTTTTATATCACAGATTGTGTTTCTCTGGATTGATGGCTGTGTCTCTTTTGCACACACATGCATTACTTCTTCCCGTGCTGTGCCCACCACCGTGCTTTCCCTCCCCCGGGAGATATTCAGGAAACAGCAATTGAAAGGTGACCAAAGGGAAAGAGAAGATGAACCAGGACAAGAAAACAAAGGACAGGGGCGCCTGGGGGGCTCAGTTGGTTAAGCGACCAACTTCGGCTCAGGTCATGATCTCACGGTCTGTGGGTTCGAGCCCTGCGTTGGGCTCTGGGCTGGCTCGGAGCCTGGAGCCTGTTTCAGATTCTCTCTCTCTCTCTCTCTCTCTCTGAAATAAATAAAACATTAAAAAAAAAAAGAAAACAAAGGACAGCAGATGTCTTAAAAATTTGGCTAACATCTCTCCCATCCTCTGTCCCAGCTGATGGCCTTGATTTCTTCAGCCCAGAAATGGGCATCCAGGGGCTCCGGCCCCCACCTCACCTGCCCGCTGGCCCCACCCACGGGCTCTACCTTCCCGCTACCTGCCCGCCTGTATCCACACACTGGCTCTCCCTCCAGGGCACGAGCCTCTGGCTCCATTTGCTCTTGTGTCCCCAAGAGCCCCTTTCATTCATCTCCTACGTCCCCACTTTCTTCTTTTTTTTTTTTTTAATATTTTTATTTATTTCTAGGAGAGAGAGAGAGAGACAGCGTGAGCAGGGGAGGGTCAGAGAGAGAGGGGGATACAGAATCTGAAGCAGGCTCCAGGCTCTGAGCTGGCAGTCAGCACAGAGCCCGACGCGGGGCTCGAACCCACGAACAGCGAGATCATGACCTAAGCGAAAGTCGGACGCTTAACCGACTAAGCCACCCAGGCGCCCCTCCTACGTCCCCACTTTCCACTCTCCTCTGTATTAGATCGTTCTCACCAGCACACAAAAGGTTGTCTGGAAAAGGACAACTCGCTCTGGACCACACATTACCCCGCAGAGTGTGCTTCACTGCACTGCACTCCTTTGCAGCGACAGGTCTCGGTCGAAGCGCCTGTCCCCATGGTCTCCAAATCCCCTTCTCCCGGTCTCTCCTAAGCCCCCTCCGTTAAGCCTCCAGTCCTTCCTCTCCACTGACGCTCGCCTAGTCAAGGCCAGCAGCGACGTCCAAAACCTCCCCGGTTTCCCTCCCACCAAGCCTGCTCCGTCTGCAGCCTTCACCTGAAAACAACCGCATGCCTCCAACGGCTCGGTCTTGATCCCTCTAACCCAGCAGATGGTCCGCCGCCACACTGTGCTCAGAGACCTCTCCTCACCCACACCCTGGTCCGGACCACCATCGCCTGGCTGCACTCCTTCCACAGCCGCTTAACTGATGTCCTGCAGCAGCTACCGTTGACTCTCGTACAGCAGCCAAAGTGATGCATTTGAAATTATATCTGCACAAGCACACCAGTTTTCTGCTCGAAATCCCGCAAGGGTTATCTATCCCATTCGACGTAAAAGCCTTACAACGGCCACAGAGGACTTCGTTGATCTGGACCCCGTTACTTTCCTAGTGTCATCCAGTCTTCTTCCTCCTTCATTCCACTCCATCCTCTGTGCTCTTCTCATAATATATCAGGAATGCTCGCTCTTGCCTCAGGGCCTTTGCACTGGCCAGCACTTATAGCCAGAAAGCAAATATATCCGTGTCACTTCTTTCACTTCCTTCAAGTCTTTGTCCAAATATCACCTTCTTAATGGAGCCTACCTTCAGCGCTTTCTTGCTTCACAACCCCACCCCTGAATTCAGTTTACTTTTTCTTTCTTCATAGCTCTTTAGTACGCTCTTGGATACCACACGATTAACTTCGTGTTATGTGCTTATTATCATGCTTATTTATGTGTCACTATTGCTAGAATGTAACTCCGTAACAGGAAGGATTTTTGCTTTACTAATTTATTCTAAGAATGCTTGTACATAGTAGACAAAATACAGACCTTACTGAATGAGCTAAGTGACTAACGAGTCCAAGCAGAACTATACATACCAGAAAGAGCCATTCCTTCTTCCATCTGTCCCACAGTAACTGTAAGTACGGACAAAATGGGACCAACATTTACGGAGCACATAAAACTGCGATTCTGGCCACTGTTAACTACTTGGCCTTCACCGCACTGAATATTTGGAGCCACCACGTGGAGACGGTTATTAAACACTTGTCGAGTGGCAGGTTAACTGAATGAATCCTCATTTTGCAGAGGAGGAAATGGTGTGTCAGCAGATTTATCCCTTGCCTTAGATTATAGCACTAGCAGTGGGTGGGGGTCAGATCGGAGCCTCGGGCTGTCCCGTTCCAAAGTGCCACACTGTTCGGCTCCAGAGCAGAGATGCGGAAGTCAGGTAGACGGGCGGCCGCGTCCCAGCTCTGCCTGGAGCTCCAGCCGGTTGGTGACCGTCTCTGAGCTGCACTGTCTCTACCTTTTCGGCACTGCGTGCTATTGGGGTCATTACAGGCAGGATGGAGTGTTAATGGATCCGTCTGTCTGTCTGTCAAACTGAGGGATGAAGTGCTTTATGCAGGAATCACTTCGGCTCAGGTCATGATCTCACGGTTCGTGAGTTCGAGCCCCGCGTCTGGCTCTGTGCTGACAGCTCAGAGCCTCGAACCTGTTTCGGATTCTGTGTCTCCCTCTCTCTCCGCTTCTTCCTCATTCATGCTCTCTCTCTGTCTCTCAAAAATAAATGTAAAAGAAAATTATTAAACAAAAGAATTAAAACCAAGAAGAAAAAAGGTTCAGTGCGGCCATCTGAACGGGGAGACGCCTGAAAACGCTCCAGGCCTCCCGCTGAAGAAGGGCGGCTGCGTGGTAGCTGCTCAGGGCTGCAGCCCTCCTGGCCTGCGGGGTTAGAACGTTTAACATGGAAGCGAAGGGAGAGCAGCTCTTCCGTCTTTGGCTGTTTGCGTGGCTGGCACGAAGCGCCCGGACTCCGAAGGGGCGCCCTCTGAAGGCCCCGAAATCCTTCCTGTGGGTTTTCCTGCCACACCCGCAGGTCCCCACCCCCAACACACACACCCTGTCTCCAGAGTCACTCGGAGCACCCATGGGTCCACACGGGAAACACGGGTAGTTCTAAATTTTTGTTTAATGTTTTATTTCTGAGACAGAGAGAGAGAGAGAGAGAGAGCGAGCAGGGGAGGGGCAGAGAGAGAGGGAGACACAGAATCTGAAGCAGCTCCAGGCGCTGAGCTGTCAGCACAGAGCCCGACGCGGGGCTCGAACCCGCGAACGTGAGACCATGACCTGAGCCGAAGCCGGAGGCTCAACTGACTGAGCCGCCCCCGGCGCCCCCACTCGGGTAGTTCTAAACCAAGGTCAAACTTCCACCTTGGGTGGTGACGGAGTCTGTGAGTGGTAAGGGGAGGAAGGAAAGCCCCGGGGGCTGGGCGCCGCGGTTGAACTGCCCACGCGCTGGCTCCCCGCGCCGCGCACGCGCTGGCTCCCCGCGCCGCGCACGCGCTGGCTCCCCGCGCCGCGCACGCGCTGGCTCCCCGCGCCGCGCACGCGCTGGCTCCCCGCGCCGCGCACGCGCTGGCTCCCCGCGCCGCGCACGCGCTGGCTCCCCGCGCCCTGCACGTGGGCCCGCAGCAGGGCAGTAGTTAGAGATCCCGGGCCCTGGGCCCCGAGGCAGACTCACGAAACCAGACACCCTGCACGTGGGGGGCCCGGTGGGTGCGTCCTGGGGCACGTGTGCGCAGCGCCGGCCTGGCGCTGTGCCCGAGCCGGGGCCTGAGCAGCCCCCCGCCACTGCGCTGTGCAGAGGAGGCGGGGCCGCCTGCCTCTCCGTCCCACAACTCAGTACACGCGCAGTGTACCCCCCGCCGCGGCGGGGGCGGGTGTGTGTAACAGGCACGCCCCCCGTCGCGCCCGCTCCCGACGGATCCCCTGTGCTTCCCCCGCAGACGGGTACGCGTTTTCCCAGCTAGAGCACCGGGGGAGCAGTCAGGAAGGACCCGGCCGTTCTTCCGACGCGCCCGCAGTCGAAACCAGATAAGCGCTTCAGTGCGATCGCTTGAGTCCAGCGCTGGGTGAGCTCTGGGCCCCACGTGCGGAGACTGCGGAGCGTGCCAGCACCCCCACATGCTCATTTCTTGCGACTCTGGCCAGTTTGCTGCTTATGTCATCGACGGAGCCACAATCCTCGGGTATAAATAACGGGGGAAGCCTGTTTGCGTTTTTTTTTTTTAATTTGCCTTCAGTGTTTTACCTAACTTGTTGACTTTTTTTTGTGGTTGTGAGATAATCAGTTCAGCCTCAAGTATAAAATTATAAAATTAAAAGCATTTTGTTTCACCAAACTTTAAGCTCTGGTCTAAGTTGTTTTGGGAGAAAAGATAAAGAATGTCAGGATGCATAATTAAGCCTACTTAACTGCAAAGGAGTCACACAGAAACTTTGTACTTTGGAAAACTCACAGACTAAGGAGGGGCATATAAAGGCAGAATATAAAATGTTTTTCTAAGTAGGCTGTCCTGACACTTTGAATCATATTTTATTTGTTCAGCATTTGCACAGTATTTTTTACGTCAATGAATTCAAATAGGTGGAATATACCCTAATCTCGGGTTTAAAATCGGTGTGCAAGATTCAACAAATCTCATTTTCTGTACACTCCACTTAATGTCCCCTCCCCCGGGCATTAGGACTTGGTAGGAAATTCAACTGCAATCATTCTTGGGGCTGTGCCTGAGGCTTCTGCTAACTTTCCAGGGCTTCACACAGTGCACAGCGTTGGGACACCCCTCTGTTCTTCTGTCCTCCTCCGCACAGGCCCCGCTAAAGCAAATAGTTTATTTCAGTCACTTTATGAGGCTTTTGGGCCCAGTATGGGAAACTGGAACCTTTGACGGGGCTGAAAATCTCATACCTGTTAATGATTCTGGTCACTAATTCTGAGATGTGGGAGAGTTTTTCCCGCCATTCATCCAAAGAATTCTCAGACACCAGCCAGGTGTCCTATAACTCAACTCAGTTCTGACACTATCTACCTGGAGACTCAGATCCCTCAAGTTGAGGAGTCCATCCCACAAGACTGCCCCCCCCCCCACTTCAGATGCCAATCCCAAGTCCAGAGTATCCCTTGTGCTTCTAACCAACTGCTTACAAATCAAAGGTTCCCATGACACCCTTCTTGGGTTCAATTAACTAGCTAGAGCAGCTCACAGAATTCAGAAAACCCATTTACTCATTAGATTACCAATTTATTCCAAAGGATATTAAACAATATGAAAGAATATGATTCAACAGCCAGATGAAGAAATACCCAGGGCAAGGTCCAAATGGAGTTGCAGCCCAGCGTGTTAACACCTGGAAACTTCCTGGCTCACCAACCCAGCAGCTCTCCAAAACCTTTCATTTGGGTTTCTATGGAGGCTTCATTACATGGGCATGACTGATTAAATTACTGGCCATTGGTAATTGATTCAACTCCACTCCTTCCCCCCCCCCCCAGGAAGGGGTGGGTGAGACTCAAAAGTTCCAGCTCTCTCTTTATTGTTGGTTACCCTGGCAACCAGGCCCCATCCTTAGGTGCTTTCTGAAAGTAACCTCATTAACGTAAACCCAGTTGTGATGGAAAGGGATTTATTAGGAATAAAAAGACAGCATTTCACCTGTAAGGATCTGAAGCATTTTGCTCTTATCACTCAGGGAATCCCAAGCATTTTGGTTGCTGTGGGCCAGGAACCACAGACAAAGACCAAATAAATACATATGAGAAATATATGTTGGGCATTCAGATGACCATCTTGACCAAATATATATTTCTTATAAATCACAGTATCGCACATGTGGTCTAACATCACCAGCAAAGACATTCCTCTCCTGAAACACAGTATCATTCCAGGGCGCATTGAGGGAATGAGGAGAGGCTTTCACATTCCTCCTGTAGTCTAAAGTCACCCTTTCTCACACCCCTTCTATTTAGTTAGGTTTTAAAGCAAAAACCAGAATTCTAAAAAGTAGAACCTATATTTTCTGTCCTACCAAATGATTCCTCTGAGGAAATAATCCAAAAAGCCTAATAACTGTTTGAATGGAGACAACAAGAAAAACATGAGGAGAAATATCTAATTAATACCTTAAAAAGTTCTCCATGAATGGATAAACAAAATGTGGCACTTCCATACAATGGAATATTATCTGACCATAACAAGTAATGAAATACTAATATATGCACAACATGGATGAACCTTAAAAACATTATGCTAAGTAAAAAAAAAGAAAAAAGCCAGTCATAAAAGGTCACGTATAATATTCCATTGGGAAGTTCATCAGCAAAACTATAGATATATAAAGGAGATTAGTAGTTGCTTAGGGCTGGTGGGAAGATGAAGGGGAAAAGGCGAATATCAAAAGGGTACAGGATTTCTTTTTGAGGTGATAAACATGTTCTAATATTGACTGCAGTAACAGTTGCACATACTTGTGACTATATTAAAAAACCATTGAATCATATGGATGAATTGGTGCTTTAAATCTCAATAAAGTTGTTTTAAAAAATTATGCAGGGAAATTCTTCATCCAATCATAATGTACTAGACATGCCTTCCTGCTGAAAACTATTAGAAAACTGGAAAAATATATGAAAAAGATGTCTTCAGACATTGGACGAAGGGCAGTATAGGAATATAATCCCTAAGAGAAAGGAATTAAAGGCCATACAATTTCCCAGGCTTTCTTTCTAGAGGCATTTGCCAGACCATGGTACAGGAAAGCAGTACCCAAGCAAAGCACAGTATCTCAGTGAATTGGGGAGCCTAAGCTAAAAGTTTGGGCAGGTGAGGCAGCTGATATTTTCTAGTTATGATATCATTGAGAAAGGAGATGTACACAGAAAGAGCTCTAGACATTGCTTTAGGGAGGTCATAGAGTGAATAACTAGATGCTCACCTACGTATATGCAAAGTGAAACTCAATGAAGTAGGGCAAAGACAACTACCAGAGACGTTTAAGCTGAACAATTCCTCAACTTCCAGAGGATTCAATATTTAACCAAATAGGGTAGAAAGGGTTTGATGAATACTTGAGATATTCCACAGAGACCCCAGAGCCGTACCTTAATAGTAAGGCTAAGCTAGGGGCGCCTGGGTGGCTTAGTCGGTTAAACGTCCGACTTTCGCTCAGGTCATGATCTCGCGGTTCGTGGGTTCGAGCCCCGCGTCGGGCTCTGTGCTGACTGCCAGCTCGGAGCCTGGAGCCTGTTTCAGTCTGTGACTCCCTCTCTCTCTGACCCTCCCCTGCTCACGCTGTCTCTCTCTCTCTCTCCTAGAAATAAATAAAAATATTAAAAAATAATAATAATAAAAAAAATAAAATGCTAATATCTTGGATATAGCGAGTTAAATCAAATCTGTAATTAAACTTCTCACCTGTTTCTGTTTTCCTCGTGTGGCTCCGGAACATTCTCGTTCCATTTCGATTAGACAAGNCTCCCTCTCTCTCTGACCCTCCCCTGCTCACGCTGTCTCTCTCTCTCTCTCCTAGAAATAAATAAAAATATTAAAAAAAAAATAGTAAGGCTAAGCTAGCACTAAGAGCAAGAACTACTCTAGACCCATAATCTTATTTAATAAAGCTCATCTCAGGAAACCCTAAAAATAAGCATCCAAATCATTAAGGGGGTCCAGAGTTAATTTAGCTACCTGAAGGATAAACAAACCCTCTAACAGCAGAAAACAGATGCCCTTCAGTGTAATAGTAACAATTTCCGACATCTAGTCAACAATAATCAAATAGATGTTCAAAGGAGGGAAACTTAATCTGTAACCAAAATAAAAGTCAATGGAACCAGTCCCAGAACTGACATAGATGATGGGATTGAGAGACAAAAACTTTAAAACAGCTCTTACAAATATGTTTAAGGACTTAAAGACAACATGAACACAACGAGGAAAGAAATGAAAACCATAAATGAAGAAATAAATGAAATTTCTAGAGCTGAAAAAGATAATATGAAAACTGAGAATTTTATTGAATATGTTTAGTAGATCAGACACTGAAGAATAAAAATACATATATAAAAACTTGAACACAGTGGAAACTATCCTACCTGAAGCACAAAGAAAAAAGCTGAACAAAAACTGAAAAAGAGCATCAATTACCTGTGAGACAACATCAAGCAGTTTTATGTGCATTTTTTAGAGTTGTAGATAGAGAAAGGAACAGGAAAAAAAATAATTGAAGAAATAAAGGCAGAAAATTTTCCAAGCATGATCTGAGAAGCACAGCCAACCCATGGCAGGATAAACACACACACACACACACACACACACACACACACACACATACACACAGCATAATCAATTTGCTGAAAATCAAGGATGAGGAGAAAAGTCTTAATATTAGCCACAAGCTTAAAAAAACACATTACAAAGTTAAGAAAGAACAAATAGAAATGACCACTGACTTCTCAGAGAAGCCAAAAGAAAATTTGCTGAAAAAAGAAAAAACATTGTCAACCTGAATTCTATAGCTATTGAAAATATCCTCCAAGATGAAAGGGGACGGTAAGGCATTTTCAGACAAAAATTGAGACAGTTTACCTCTAAAAATCTTGAACTAAAAGAAGATGTTTAAAGGAAGCTGTTTAGGCAGAAAGAACATGATAAGAGGTGGAAAATCTGAGCTACACAAAGGAAGAAAAAGCTTTAAAACTGGTAATTCTTGGATAAATATAAGGAATTTTATTTTCTAATTAAAATTTGTTTCTATTTAATGCACAATTAGTAACAATGTATTGCAGGGTTTAAAACATGCAGAAGTAAAACATAGGCCAACAAAAGCACAAAGGAAGGAAGAGAGAAAAGGAAAGAATATTATTATACAGGTTTTACACTGTATCTTACATGACACAGTATTATTTAAAAGTAGTCTGTGGAAAATTAAGGAGGTATACTATACAACCAGTAAAAGCTTAAATAAAATGGCATGTCTAATAAAACAGTTTATGGGATAAAATGGAATACCAAAAACAATCAAAAAGAAGGCAGGAAAAGTGACGGTGGGGGGGATGGAAAATAAGAGGAATAAAAAATGAATAGGAACGTGGGAGATTTAAACCCAACTACACTGATAGTTACATTAAATATACATGGTTTAAATACTCCAAATAAAACTCAGATACTGTCAGACTCAACAAAACAAAATCCAACAATATGGAGGTGGCAAGAAATACACTTTAAATATGAATACAGAAACACAGCT